TTTCTTTCTTCTGTGCTTCTGACTCTCCTGGTCTCACTAAAATCCTCCCTACTAACATTTCTTACTTTAAGGAAGATCATCTTCTTTGCGGTGAGAGCTCTCCTCGTAAAGCATTCTGGGATGCATCTGCCTCTTCTGAGGCCTTTCTTTTCTTCTAATACATTTCGTAGACACTTTTCCAGATTATACGATCCCAAACTGATGTTGTAAAACAGTCAGAAATCAGTCAAATAAATATCAGAATACATCAGCCTGCATCTACAGTAAAATGTCTGATATAAGCAAGCTGAAAGAAATACTCGGCTTCTATTCACTTATGTTTAAAGTATATGTTACCCAATAGTTCATTATAAATTGCTCATTTGTTCTTATACTTATATGCTTTTCACCATTTGAGTAATATCACTTGATCAAGCCTTCTCTAACATTAAAAACTACAAAAAGGGTCATATAAGTATGTGATCCATGCTGTTATCATGTCATGACAATTCTCAAAGGTCCAATATCTTCTTATCTTATCTTAAATATCTTATCAGAAATAACGTTTTATCAGAAAAACATGGTCCAATATATCTTATAGAAAAAACTATAGGGAAAATCTCAAAATTTTTAGATTTTTTTATTCAGGATTTTCCCAGAATAAATCACTTAGAGCTCCTTTAAGTCTGAGGTTCTTTGGAGACATTAAACCAGGTCTATAGACAATGAAAAGTCAATCAAACAAAATAAAACCCACATTATAATATCTCTTAGATGAACTTGTGGGCCCTGTGGCTTCCAAAGAACTGAATTTTATGTGATGTAATCGGGCTGTAGTATGTTTTATTCTAAAGGAATACCTATATAGATATACTATATACACACACACACACACACACACACACGCAACTTCACACTTTTACTCAAGTCAAAGCTGATTTATTCTAAAAACGACCAAATTAGAACATTTGTTTCTCTATTTTTAGATTTAAAATTAAATATACAAACATGTGCCCAAATGAAAAATCAACAATTCATATAAAACCTAATATTGTATACCGTATATCATTGTATGCATTAAATAGGTTATCAATATTACTGCAGCTCTTATCAGTCTATCATTGAGCCTTCCACCCAGGAGGCTCAGAAACAAAAACATTCTTTATCACAAAGAAAACATTTTTAAATTTATTTTATTTTTTTGTTAAAGTTAAAAAATATTCTTACTAAAAACATTCATGTTCCAATATCACAATATTAATAATAACCTGCCTTTGGTTCATTGATCTAAACACTGAATCATTACTAAGTGTAAAGAGTTCATAATGAACAGACTAAGAGAAAAACATTCACAGTACTACAGATCCTCTACCTTACATAACAGAAGGTTTAAAGTGCTTCTCTGTATATCGGTCTTTGTCAGCCACGTGACTGACACGCCCCCTAGCGCCATTTTTGTGGTGAGCGGAAGAAAAACAAAACAGCAGAAAACAAGAGGAGAGCGCTGCAAGCCAGCAGCTAGGATTATCAGTTAAATGGAAAAGAACAAGAAAACTGAACGGATACCCTACCCAGTCAAACTTTCTAAAGCTGCTAGGGAACGATATTATATATTATTATTACAGTGACAAGGCAGATGTTGTGGGCAGTTGCACAGATCGCTGCAGTTATTAGAGTAGTTTGTGCTGCTCATCAGACTGAACGGAAAAACTTGTCAGAATTTTTGCACATTGATAAGTTGCACACTGTATTTGCTGTTCACTTTACCCAGGCCTGTTTTCACTGGGATCTGCAGTCTTCTTCACAGATATCACCTGTTAGGTCATATCTCTACGGAAGACCACAGTGAAAACAAGTCCAGGGAAAATGAAAATCGTCTAATTTAATCTAAAGAGCAATCTGCTATATACGAGGGAGGAAGACAAAGTAAAACATTTGAAGCTTTGCACTGTTCTGCATTATTTATGTATTTGAGATTTTGTATTGCATTTTCATAAATTCTCTGCTTGATTGAAAAGATAATAACAACGCTTGTTTCAAATTTCAAACTCCACTCTTTATTGTACACACATTTTTACAACTTCAGAAACATTGTTAATATTTGAAGTGACGGTGAAACTTATATTTGTTTTGCTGTTATTTTTCAAAAGTAACTTTAAAAAAAGCAAAATTCTATTTGTGTGAAAAGAAGAATAAAAAAGAAGAAGAAAGTTGAAACAGTACTTGATCTGGCATTCATTTATTAGCTGGTTTCTCTGTGAAAATTTCAAAACAGTCACTAATCACTGTGACTCTATGTCCAAAGGCCTCCACAAACGGATGAGGCATAATTTTGTGCAAGGTGTCTCTATCTGGCCACACAATTGCACGCTTTAGATTTGCATATAAAAATGACACCATTTCATTGAATGTTCTGTACACTGTCTTTGGTGAAACACAGAAGAGATAAGCAAGGTGTTGTGAGGGCAGATCCAATCTCAGACGCATGAAGGTTAACAGAAGCATTTGAAATGGACTGAGAATTTTATTTTGAGCAGACATGAGAGGCAGCAGAAAATTAAACAAAGCCATAAAGGTCACCAAGTTTGGTAGACCCGTATAGTACTGGACTTTTTCATTAGTGTCTCCAAAGGAGCCATCAGAGATCCGCAGCTCATCAAGTTCACGCCGCAGCTCTCTGTTTTCTTCCAAAAGATGGTTCATCTCTGCACACCTGAGCACACACAGGTTACATTCTGTCTGTCCTTCCTGACGACCACCTTCTGTGTCATCCTTGGTGTTTGGCCGGCCAACGTTTTCAGCAGCCTTCTGCGTGTCAGTCTGTTGCTGGTTAGGGTTCTCTGTCGCCTCATGTGTTACTTCATCCTGTTGCTCAAGGATTTCATCAGCCCAATGGAGCCCCGTTTCAGTTGCTTGCAGGGCATTCTTTTTCAGCTGTTCCCGATAACCACGTCTTAAAGAGCGGTCTGTGTCTGTTGGTTTGATGTCAGTGTGGCCCAGATGCAGGGATGGAGCCCAGTCTGGGTCAGTCTTCATCATCTCATATGCAGGTTGACCTGCAAAGTAGATGAAAGGTTTAGTGTTTTACACATCTATTCAAAACACTATATAAAGCACCTAAATAACAGAGCCCATTAGATTAGATGTGTAATAAATTAAGATAACCTTATGTGTCCCACAGTGGGGAAATTTGCTATACCGAAACAGCACAAGTACATCGGACTAGTAAGGCCAGAGGTAAATAAATAAACTGAAAAGCTTACAGACGAACAAAGGATTATAATATACTTAAGTAGATTGCACAGGATAAATAAATACAGTGAGTTGGCTGACGAGTGGGTATGTACAGTGTTTTTATATGTACAGTGTATTTACATATATTTATTCATTTAAAAAAAATTGTATTGCAGATTGTGTAAATGATTATATACAGAGAATGCATTATTTATTAAATTTTAGCGGTCTAAAAAAGAAATAAACAAAACAAACATCACTTTCCGCTTCTCTTCCACAGCATGTTTCAGTAGGTTTACATGAACTCCTGCAACTTTATAAGCAAACCATTTCAGCGTGTTGATTTCTATTAGTGTATATTTATAAGGACTTACCTTTTTGAAAATGCAGAGAGCAAACACGAGCATGAGGAGATATTTTATGAAACGTGATGTCTTTCCTTCTTACAGCAGCGACCCATGCAGCCCGACGCCTCTTTGTTAAGTCCTCTGTCTGCGGTCCGTATTTTTTTTTCCAAGTGTGGAATACGAAAAACCGTAAGGCCCCATCTGCTGTTTTCTGTTTAGAATTACTGTTGCATCCTTTGACGCAGCACCAGTGTCCCATTTTTTCCAACGGAAGCAACTAGAACACCTCTACTCTCTGTTAGTTTTCTGTTGTTAGTTGCTGCTGTCTCTTCACCACAGAAATGGCGCTAACTACCCTAAATGCATTGCGCTTTTGCGGAAGTGACGCACACTGTCAAAGACCGATTAATGATTGGTTCACAGCAGAACGTCCTGCTGTGGCATTAAATTACAGCAGTGAAGGGGGAGCATTTCAACCAGTTAAACATTTGAAGCGTAATTGGACATTTTCAATTGAAAGGAATAGTACACCCAAAACATGATTAGCCTTCATTTTCTACTCACCTCCATGCTGAACAACACCCTGGAGTACTTTTTTGATATCTCAAATGCATCTGGAGATCGGGGAGGCTTCTTGCTGTCTGCTGACATTCAAATAATGGAGGTCTATGGTGCCCAAGGCAGAAAGGTCCATAAAAGTCCACAAAAAACGTGTCAATATTCCTCCATACTGCTCGTCCAATGTATTCCAAGTGTCCTGAGTGGGTAGCGTCCAGAATTTACTCGAAATGAAGTCATTTAGAATGTTTTTAGAGCATAAACAGTAGTGTATAGGATTTCCTAAAAGCGCGTTCACGAGTCTACGGAAACTGCGGCAGACCAAACCAGACAAAAGTGCGCATTCAGCGTCTGCTCTGCCAATAATGCAAGCGTAGAAGAAGAAATGTGCTGTTTACCTGTGCAAAGAAAGAAACAACGAAAGAAAAATGTTTGAGGACTTCAGTGTTGAGGAAGAGCATGAGTTCTTTGCCGAGCTGAATGCGCACTTTCATCTGGTTTGGTCTGCCGCGGTTTCCGTAGACTCGTGAACGCGCTTTAAGGAAATCCTATACACTACTGTTTATGCTCTAAAAACATTCTAAATGACTTCGTTTCGAGTAAATTATGGACGCTACCCACTCAGGACACTTGGAATACATTGGACGAGCAGTATGGAGGAATATTGACACGTTTTTTGTGGACTTTTATGGACCTTTCTGCCTCGGGCACCATAGACCTCCATTATTTGAATGTCAGCAGACAGCAAGAAGCCTCCCAGATCTCCAGATGCATTTGAGATATCAAAAAAGTATTCCAGAGTGTTGTTCAGCATGGGGGTGAGTAGAAAATGAAGGCTAATCATGTTTTGGGTGTACTATTCCTTTAACAATGCATCCATTACACCTCATTTGCATAAGCAATAATTTATAAAACATTTTTATATAAGAAGTATAAGAATCTAAAAAAAACTACCGAAAGGAGGTTCCTCGCAGAGACCAGTCCTTCATTTAGGATACATGCTGGCTTCTTTCTATCCTGATTAGCTTTACAGTTGAGGACCTTTGAGCACACCATGTCAGCTGCTGACAGGCTGATGAACCCTGTGGGAACGCCATTGTTTCAAGCCATCGCCTAGTAATCATGAAGGATCCTTTAAAAAATCTTGGCTCCAAATGGTGCGCTGCATCAGCACCAAATCCAATCATCTGTTACACATCATGAAATATCATCCAATAATTTCATAACTTTAGAAGGCATTTTATTTATTTTTACTTTATTTTAGAGGGTCAGGCCGACCCTGAAGAAACCACATGCTCCTTTGGGGAGCTAATAAATAAAAATCTCATAAAAATGAGACCAAGTGTCACAGGTTTACTTTAACTGTTGCTCAGTAAGAGGGTTCTGTGTGCTCTGATGTGCCGGATCAGACCTGCCTTACGACAGAACCTCTCTCCACAGATGGAGCAGGAATACGGTTTCTCCCCTGTGTGGATTCTCATGTGAACATTCAGATTGCAGCTCTGAGTAAAACTTTTCCCACATGTTGGGCATGAAAAAGGCTTCTCCCCAGTGTGGGTTCTCATGTGTTTAAGCAGACTAGAATTGAGAATGAACCTTTTCCCACACGTCTCACAGGAATATGCCTTGTCACCACTGTGGCTCTTCATGTGGTACTGGAAGGAGCTCTCATGGGAAAACATTTTCCCACATGGTGAGCAGGCATAAGGTTTCTGCCTGGAGTGAGTGACCATGTGATCAGAAAGATGTCTGTTTGAACTTAGAGCTTTTCCACAGATCCCACAGACGTAGGGCTTCTCCCCAGTGTGGGTTCTCATGTGAACCTTTAGGTTGCTGCTTTTGGAGAAGCTCTTCCCACAGGTGTTACAGGAGTATGGCTTCTCACCAGTGTGAGTTCTGAGATGCTGAATCAAATTGTTTTTGAAGTTGAAGACTTTTTCACAAAAGTCACATTTCAGAGATGAATCGTTGTCCAACTGAGGCGGTGTTTTGGTTACCATGGAAACGTTGCCTTCTGGGCTTTTGGTCTGAGCATCAGAGCCAAGATAGGAGCAGAGCTGCTCAGTTTGTGATTCTGTTTTGGTTTGCTGATAAACCAGAGAGTCCATAAAAGTCTCTTCCTTAAGTGCCAGAACCTGAACCAGACTGTCAGAGTTTGGGGCGAAGAGCAGCTGTGATTCCTTAAGTTTGTCTGATATCTGTGCCAGTTCTGGTTGCTCCTGAGTTACACCAACCGGTTCTTTTTGGTTTTCATTAATCTGTAAAGGCTCTGGTTCCTGCAGATGTTTGATTTGCGGACATTCCAGTTGGTTCAGGGCATCTTCAGTCAGTGGAAGTTCTGGTTCTACCCATTCCTGTTTAATCTGTGGAGGTTCTAGATGGTTCTGGTCTTGATCTAAAGGAAGAATTAAAGAAGAAAAAACAAAGAGTTATTAACCAAAGTTGAAGCTGATGGGAAACCAAACCAAGTGATTGTAAAAGTTTTTTGTTTTTTTTTTATTCTACCACATAAAATGCAGCAGTGTTGACGTGCTTGGCCACCGGTAACATCTCATTACAAGCTGAGACTTGGTGATTCTGATAATTTATGTTAAGGCTGAAACAATCAATCTGATTAATCGTGATTAATCGATTATTAAAATTATCGTCAACTAATTGAGTAATCGATTAATCTGGAGTGTAGAGACTCCATAACATAACTTTAGCTGACAGAGTGACCTAATTAGAGCAGCGATTATACCAAAGTTTTAAAAAAATATGTATTTTGCATTTAACAAAGATAAAATAAATCCATCAATACACTTGATCAAGAACTCCTACAGTCTGTTCAAAAGTTGCAGTTCCCGTAGCTCATACGAGCTTAAAATGTCCGAACGTCCACCCTAACCGCTAAATCTCTCAATCGCTATATAGAGCGGGGACTGTATAGTGGACTTCAATGTGAACTCAGTTAACGGACCGTTTGGACAAATGATCACTACTCTTTGCTCCCCGATAGTCCCGAATTCCTCCTCCACCGCACGGTGCCTGCGCCATCTTTGTCAAGAGTCGACAGCGGGCCGCTGTGACAGCAAATCCCATAATGTTTTGCAACGAGAGCTCTCCGTGCAAAGCATTCTGGGATATATCTACCTCTGCTGAGGCCTTTCTTTTCTCATGCACTTCATAGGCATTTTTTCTCTTACAACCTCAGAAGAGGCCATTTTGAAAGAAACGCGGTGAGAAAGTTGAGCTTCAATGACTGTCTGAAACCGCTGCTCACCACAAATGTACGCCTGAACGTGTGCATGTGCAGAAAAGATAGCTAACTGGGGACGAGCACACAGCAATTACAGCATTGCAGACCTTTGGCATTCTAGTTGTTAATTTGTTGAGGTAATCTGGAGAAATTGCACCGCACGCTTCCAGAAGCAGCTCCCACAAGTTGGATTGGTTGCATGGGCCCTTCTTGCATACCATACGGTCAAGCTGCTCCCACAACAACTCAATGGGGTTCAGATCTGGTGACTGCGCTGGCCACTCCCTTACCGATAGAATACCAGCTGCCTGCTTCTGCTCTGAATAGTTCTTGCTCAATTTGGAGGTGTGTTTAGGGTCGTTGTCCTGCTGTAGGATGAAATTGGCTCCAATCAAGCGCTGTCCACTGGGTATGGCATGGCGTTGCAAAATGGAGTGATAGCCTTCTTATTCAGAATCCATTTTATACTGTACAAATCTCCCACCTTACTAGCACCAAAGCAACCCCAGACCATCACATTACATCCACCATGCTTAACAGAAGGCATCAGGCATTCCTCTAGCATCTTTTCATTTGTTCTGCGTCTCAAAAAGGTTCTTCTTTGTGATCCAAACACCTCAAACTGGTGGTTGCCTTTGGTCGCAATACCTCCACCTTCTGGTCTGGAGTGTAATCGCTTCGCCTCCTCAGATTTAGTCAACACTGACTCACTGCCATTGGGATTATTTCCAATTTCTTTGACCAACAACTATATATATATATATATATATATATATATATATATATATATATATATATATATATATATATATATATATATATATATATATAAGGGATGGGACGATTCATGAAAACCGTCCGAACCGTTCGGTTCGACTGTCTCTGTTCGGTTCGCATGTGTTTCGTTCGGTACATGCGCTGCTCCTTTTTCTCATAGGCGAAGCGTTTACACTCCAGAGCAGAAGGTGGCGGTACTGCGACCAAAGCCAGGAGTTGGAAGACCCGCCAGCAGCACTTTATAGGTCTGCTGTATGGGACCACTTTGCATTTAGAGTGACCTACGATGACGGCGGAAAGAAAGTTGTGGATAAAAGTGCAACTGCAAGCATTGTGCAACACGTTTTGCGCTCCGCCCCGCTGCGCTCCAGACCACTTGCACAAAGCAAAGCCTACAGTCCCCACTGTGGCCCCCGGCCGCTCCCCTTTGAGTCCCTTGGAGATGTTAGAGAGCATGCGCCAGATGATGAAAAAAGACAAATCTCCTGTGATATTTAATGTATGATCTCTTTTCTTTAAAAAGAGGTCATGTTCTTAGCTCTAAATTAGTTTTTTTGAAGTCAAAAATTGCTTTTTAGAGTTGAAGTTTTTTCTTTGCGGTCGTGTAAAAGTTGGCTTCACCTCTTTTTTAATCAAAGTTTGAAAAATGTTGTCTGTTGCTTAACTACTATTTAAATAGCAGGTTCAAATTGTTGTCCCAACATATTCAATGTTTCATCCATGCTCATGTTTATCTCAAGGCTGCATGGCACAAAACCATGAACTAAAATAATTAATGATATGAAGCTACATTTTAACAAAGGAGGTGTTTTCACACTTTAAATATTTCACACATAAATTCCCTGAAAAGTTTTCCCTCACATGTAAGACCTAGTTTTAGCCAGAACCGATAATGTAGCAGAAAAGCAAGTTATCCTGAATTAAAAACAATTATTCCGTCACATAGCATCTTTGTGTGATACAGACTGATTAATAGTCATTTTAGTGGTTAGCTGTTGTGGTTATCTCTTGCATAACCTTTAAAAGGAAAAGTCGGTACAACATTTTGGGTTTACTGTAACATATGCTACAACGACAACAAGCAGCACCCATTACTCAATTTCAAAACATTTAATGTTTATTTTCAGTAAATACATCATTAACAATTCCGACAATGTACTCTTCATATATAAACATCAACAGAGTAAAGTTACTAAGGAAAAATAGTTATAACTTATATCAAACATTAAAGCTACAGTGTGTAATAATTACAGGGATATACAGTCAGAAATGTAATATATTATACATGTTATTTATCATCATCTATGAGCTCAGCCTCTTAACGTTAATATTTGCGTTGCCTTAGAATTCGTTATTTATAATTACATAGGAGCGGGTCTCGCAGCCATGGAGGCAGACATCTTTGCGCTACGTCAGCGCAGAGCCAACCAGCTAGCGATTGCCAGATCGCCAAAACGTCACAACGATGTAGAAAAAATAACAGGTATATTATATATATATATATTTTTTTATCTTAAGTCTACATGAAATCTATACCCTACACAGACTAATGAAATACTATCTGTAAAATTATCTATGTAAACAAACCTCATCACTCGAGAAGGTAGGTGATGCGGACGTCGTGGAAGACATTTTGTCCCGTAACGCTCGCCGTACTGTTGGGGGGAAGAAGCGGTGGGGGGGAGATGTTCATGTCGCTGCAGTTTGCAGTCTGACCGCTAGATGTCGCTAAAAGTTACACACTGTAGCTTTAAGTTGAACATTCATTCATTCATTTCTACTTTTACCATAATTGGGTATAAATCCGCACCCTAGTGGATCAGACAGATTAGTGTTATTTAAACCAGGACTTCATCTGTTTTGAGTGATCTAACCCTTTTTGCATCAATCTAACCACAACGGCTCCCACATACAGTAGTAGCCAGTAAAAATCTCCCCACTTTCCTTGATTGGCCCTTAGCTGGTCCCCTACAATTCCTTTTTAAACATCAATCTTTGTACTAAAATATTCTTCCTGTCATGGTTTGTGGACGTTAAGATCTAAAGAGAAGCATTAGACCCTTTAATTCAGTGAAAGGGTGGAGTCAGAGTAACAACAATGCACGCCCAAGACAAGGCCGGTGGCTGGAAGTTGGAGGGGATATTGCTGGGACTTGCAGGGGAATAGGCAGCCATTCAGATGGCGTTTGACTGAGTAGGGCTATTTTAAATGGCTGCTACTGTACTAGCCTGGCCAGCCAGACTGATATGACCTGAACACGGCATAATATTCTGCTATAGAGCTGGCAGAGCTCTATTTCAAAGACAGGTAAACTGGGATCAGGTCATCAGGTTTGAACCAATCAGATAACTAAAAATGTGACGCAAAACCTCCAAGCAATGTGCTCCGTTTTTGTAATTTTGTATTGTGTAAAAAAACTCAAGCTGAGAATAGCAATAAAATTTTAATAAATAAACTAAAGCTATCTGTTGTGGTTTTTTGTGTACTTGGACTCCTCCTCTTCCAAAGGATCATGATCTGTATGCAATAAAGCAGTTGCCCTTAAAAGATTGGATTTAAACCCTTTCATCAAACCCGCCCTGATGGCCGCAGCTATGTACAGCTCCAATCTACGAGCATTTCTGCTAAAATATGTCGCCCAGCACTCTATAAACTATACATCGATCCAGTAGGTTAGTTGTGACCGCCAGTGTCTGCTGGGTTACGGATGAGGATAGCCCCCATGCCCCCGCCCATCCTCAAGACCTTCTACAAGCACCATAGAGGACATTCTTACTCTCGCATAGCCTCAGACTGGAAGAACGTGAGAAGAGTGGTGAGAACAGCAGATAGGATCATCTGGGCTCCTCTTCTCTCCTTTATGGACTTTTTGTCCCAGCGCTGTGTGACCCGAGCCCGTTACATTATCAGTGATCCCTCACACCCCCACCATGGACTGTTCTCCCTTTTAAATAGGACACAACTTAATGTTCTACTGCATTTCGCACCATATTTACTTTTTCATATTAATGCCCTTTTGCACCATTTTTTCAACTGGTTTCTTTTTCTCCTACATTGTTACATTTTGATCACGGCTGCATTTTATATTGGTAATATTTATCTTACTCCAACTGCCTTTTCATTACACTATTGTAAACTGTATGCAACTCATTTCATTTTGGTGTTTACACTATGTGCAAACAAAATGACAATAAAGTCTAAGTCTGATGAGGTTTTTAAAGCAGATCGATCTCACTAAGGATCTCAGAAATGGCATCATTGCGGTCCCCATCGCGCTGACATGCTGGAAGAAAGTGACGCATCGTAAAGTCTTATCTCACGCGTTGTGATTGGTCCAGCCAAATTTATCCAGAGTCAACGGTAGTTTACTAGACTGAATTACACCCTTTTATTCAGTCTGGCTGGCCTGGCTACCTTCATGATTGAATGGACCAAGTCTAGACTGTGAGCCTAGCTTAAATAATGTATATTTAGCTTAAAGGCATTCAGCACAATGGGGAACATACAACTAGAGGTAATTTAAGACATAAATTTATAGACAGAAATTTTGACAATTTCCTTAAACTACCTTTTTAAACCCTGCAGACACCCTGATTTTATGTGTTTGTTTCTTGTGAACATTCAGTCTGCCAAGTTCAATAAAGCTTTTACCACATATTTCACATGAATAAGGTTTCTCACCTGTGTGAGTTCTCTGGTGTACTTTCAATTCATTGCGTGTAAAGAAACTTCTCCCACATTGTTGACAAGAAAACGGTCTCTCACCTGAATGTTTTAGTTTGTGAAGATTGAGATAACAAATTTGAGAGAAATTTCTTCCGCAGATTTGACACATAAAAGGTCTCTCACCAGTGTGATTTCTCTGATGTATCTTCAGTTCATTACGTCTAGCAAACCTTTTCCCACAGATTTCACAAATAAAAGTTTTCTCACCTGTGTGGATTCTGTTGTGAACATTTAAAGAACTTCTCGAAGATAATCGCTTCCCACAAGTTTCACAGCAAAATGGTTTTTCACCTGTGTGAGTTCTGTAATGTATTTTCAAGGCATATTTAGTCTTACTGAATTTCCCACAGATGTGACATTGAAAAGACTTTTTCTCTGTGTCGGATTCAGACTGACTCTCGGACACAGTGTATCTGCTTTCCTTCTGATCTTTAGTCTGAACTAAAGGAGACATATTAAATGAAAGCTTCTCAGTTCCTTGTTCCTTTTCTCTCAAATACACTTCCTGACGAGCAGAACTCTCCATTGAAAAAGCTGACTGCACTGAAGGATCTGGTTCCTCATTTTCCCTGTCCATCATAAGAGATTTTGGTTCCTCATGTTCTTTCATCATTGGTGGATCTGGTTCCCTTTGTTCCTCATAATCCCATGATGCCTCAAGCTCTACAATTTCTTCTGCAATCTGAGAAGACTCTTGTGTCTCTTCTTCCTCTTTTATCGAAAGAGGTTCTGGATCCTTCCCCTCGACTTTAACCCATAGAGGACCTTGTTCCACCTGTTCTTCTTTAGTCCATACAGGTTCTAGTTCCTCCTGGTCATGACTGGATCTCCTCATGTAGTTACAGAAACCATCAATGGCAGCGGCTTCCTCCTTATTGGAGACATTTGGCTTCTGGAAGTCTGTGGGGACAAAGACAGAGATCATACGTACAACTGAGTGTCTCCAGCTTCAGCATGGTTGTTCCTGAACAGTAAGCGCATCAATGTCCAACAAACACTGCTCTATGGTCTCAGCAACCTACTTTTAAAAGCTGGCAGCTAACAGACCTACTCAAAAATGTTAATCTTTTTAGAGAATTGCAGTCTGTTAGTTAATCAGGATGATTGATTTATCAAACTGCATAAAGAAGCGGGAATATTTCACCGCCTTTCATGCATCTGCATCCTTTTTAGACTAACTACCAACACAATGCTTCTCTTGCGTTTTCTTCTTTTGTTCTATCAAGTTAAAAACATGGCAACAACATGCTTTGGTGTTATGTGCTACATTCTTTTACATAATTTCTTATATGATTAGGGTGATGGGTTAATGAGGCATCTTTAAGCGTTTTCACTCATTGCCAAACTATTGATGCTGAGTTGATAATGTCTCACAGAATACTGACCCCTGCTGGACATTTAAAGACACTACAGGCAGTTTATTGGTCAGACCAAACTGAATTGATCTGATCACCGAGTACAATGATATAATTTAAGTTATTGTAGGTTATATTGTATTACTACTTATCTATGTTTAAATTGAAAACATCTTTGATATTTTCAAATGCAGCCAATAAATAATGTAAACATATAATGTCAAAATTTAGGGGGAATGTGAATGAGGGTGATTGTAGACTAGGATTTTAAATAATATTTTTTAAACAATAAGTACAGTAAAAGCACTAAATAAACTGAGAGTCAAATTGAAATTAACTTTAATTCAAGTTGAGTGATAACAGAGGAAAATTATAAGATGAGAAAATCTTAAATTAATTAGATAAATCTTTTATTTTAATGAGAAAATTAAAATAAAAAATTCAACGGCTGAAATGTTCCAATTCCTTTTAAGCTGCTACAAAACTCTTCATAATTTTAATGATAAACCGCAAAAGATTAGACTTTTTTTTAAGCAGATGCATCATGTTGACAGATACATTTTTAAACACAGTTTAGTGAGACAGTAAGTAAGAAACAACTCCTGTATCGGTCACATGACTTTCTGAAAACAACACACACGTTTTGCTCTAGGGGCTCAAGGCATGCACCGACGGATCAGTGTTGTTGGACCCATCACTATGGATCAGTGTAGATTAATTAATAAATAAAATAGAATAGAAAATCTCTTTGTTGTCCCACAATGAGGAAATTTTGTTGTTTAATGTAGCAAAAAGATTATAGAATAAAAGGACACACAAATACAGACCTTACAACAAAAAATGTATAAGAATTAGGGCTGCAACTAACGATTATTTTAAAAATCGATGAATCGGCCGATTATTTTTTCGATTAATCGATGAATCGGACAAAAAATATTTTTTATATTAACCTCTTTATTCCAAAATAAACATTTTAGACAGAACAAACAAGCACACAAGTACAGGTTGCTCATTAACTGTCCTGGTGCAATATGAAAAATAAATGTTTGTGTTAAAACTCGGAAAACTTACATGAGAAATGTAGCTGTACATCCACAAAATATAGGCTACTTTGTTTCATTAGGCGCAAAAAAAGACATTTTTGTTTTTAAAAGCCCTTAAGGGGCTCAAACAACAGGCCCCCCATTTCAATAAATGAGTTTTTTTTAGACTAGAAGAGTTCTGCCTTTTAAGACAGGAAAGTATATCAATTACAGTTGCTGCTTGAGAAAATACTTAACCATAGAGATAAAAATAGCCCTGTGATTCAAATTATAAATTGTATTTGGAATAAAAATGAGAGAACTAGGGGTGCTAAAAAACACATCCTCCAAAGACAGATATTTACATGGGAATGTGGCATATAATTCATTGACATATTACTGATCTTGCTGGATTTTATTCTGCTTTACTTCTATAAATTGCAGGATCTTCTTTACTTTATTTTTGCCAGAAGATTTAAACTTCAAAAGCCTTGCCCTCATAATTTGCAAGTTAATTTATTTATAAAGGCTATTTTAATTATTGTGATCAATTTGCGCCGTCAATCCCGGCGCATGCGCGCTTCATTTGCAGTCTGGACGCTGAAACATCCTGCTGCTCTGACTGCAGCGCTGAGAGGGACTCCTGCGGGAGGACGGGGTTGGGATGGGGGAGGCGCCCCACGGCAGAGTAGGAACAATACATGCTTTCACGTAAGAGTCTCCAAAAGCTGCCAGTGACATCGTAAAAAGTCGCCAGATTTGTCACTAGTCGCTTTTTTTTTTTTAAATAGTCGCTGGAGGGGTCTGAAAAGTCGCTAAATATAGCGACAAAGTCGCTGAGTTGGCAACACTGCGCACATGCAGCGCTGGCTCACTCTGCCGTAATTTTTTTTCTTCCCCATTTCAATCAAGTGGCAGTGATAACGGCGGCGGCGGATGACGAAATCGATGATGAAATATGTTGCCAACGCTTTTAAAAGTCGATTTTTATCGATTTTATCGATTCATTGTTGCAGCCCTAATAAGAATAACATAATAGTGCAGAGTTAAAAGATAAACAATAAAACACTGCACTATAAAGTGTTATATATAAATATAAAAACTGTGCACCTGGAGAATAAATACCCAATATACAGCTATGGACATTTTTACAGTAATGGATATTACTATATAAGGATACTGTGTATCAAATAACAGAATGTGATGCTGAGATCATAAAAAGATAGTCAGGAATAGTTAACTTTTAAATTATTTGGTAGTTACAGCTTTACAAAATCTAAAAAAGTGTTTCTTTACTTTTGCTACTGTTTTATGGGGTAAACTGGATGTTCCTCATGTCACAGTGTACATTTTCAGTTACAAAAAAAGTGTTTAAATGCAATTATTAAAGTCTCATATATTTTATTTGCTTTCCAAAACTATTTTCTATGATTGGAAAAACGTTTCTTTTAACTGAAATGTCTCTTTTTATTGATTTTGTTTTAGTTTATTTGAAGCAACTTCTTATATGAATGAAGGATAAAAACACAAATTATTATATGATCCGATCAAAAAACAATGTTATTTGAATTTAAAAAAAGTTGCTTAAAACAAACAAAACTTGACTTCTATCAAAGAAAACATTTCCAATAAAAAAGCAGCGTTCAAATTTATTTTTTTGTTTATTCTCAACTATATTTTTGCATTCAAATACTTTGATTGAAATGTTTTTTTCATTAATGTGAAGATGTTATTAATAAATATATTATTTGATTAAAGCAACTCTTTAAATTGAATAATAATAATAAAAAAAATCGACCTTTATAAAATAAACGTTTAATCATAAGTGCTTATTATTTATCCATTGTGATAGTGAGCTAATATAAACTTAGAGCTTTTTGGAGGCTTATATAAGCCTTGTAATTTTTTGCTGCTCCAGACAGATCTGTTATTTGTTTGTTTCTGTTTTTAGTCCATCGTGGCTCTTTGAACATTTAAGGTTACCGTCTCGTGGGTTAGGACAATACGTCACAGTTTATGACGTTTCACTGGTTTTGTCGTAATACCGTAATTCACAGTGTTAGTGTGACGTAAAATATATAGTAAAGGCTGGCTGAACCTGAGCGCGAATCCCACAACCGGAATCTGAATAGTTTGGTAATATAGCTTTTAGTAAAATGTAGACAAATTATGTATTACGTATTAAAAATACGTTTAGGTCCACTTACCTTTAAAATAGAAACCAGTAGATTCCTAAAGGTTACCAGAACGAACGCAGACTAATATCTGTCAGTAAAGCTGAGCTCTAATCATCTATCAGACACTTTCTGTAGCTTCTTACCGATTCTGTGGAGTTTTATCTGCGGGTTCCTGCAGGTTTCCATCAGTCTGATGTCTTCCTCATAGCGGACGATGGTTTTTTCAACCTCTGTGAAGATTTCTTCAGCAGCAGCAGTTAGTCGCTCTCTGATAAACTCCCTCAGACGCTGAACTGAAGACATTTTACTGAAATATCAATTTGCGATAAACCACAGTGAAGCTGCCTCCTGGCTGAGTCCCCGCGAGCCCATAGATATCCATAATAAAGGCTAGATGTCTTACGGCGGAGTCTCAAACGGCATCACCGGCGGCCATCTTACCTCAGGCAGGCTTTCTGTTGTGCTCTGTGGTACCTAATGTAAGGTGAGTGATCAGCACGAACACAAATACTCTTATCTCACTGAATTCTTGACAGATTTACAAACAGTTTGGTTTCTTACAAACATTATGAACGTGGCTATAATTCTAGATGCTTGAACATGTCGAAATTGCAGATTTTCGTGTCGAAAAATGACTTAATCATGCAGCATAGTTGTGCATCACGGCTACTTGCGCAAGTTATCAAGGCTGAGACTATTAGTCAATTATATAGGTTTTACTGACACCAATAACGATTGTATGACAATTAATCTTTGGTGTAAATTACAATCTTTGTGGATGTGGTTGTAGTTATTAGTTGGCTAATAACAATAATCTGAGTGTTGTTGTATTTTCATTATTAGCCTAACGTTAGCTCGCTAATAACAAGAAGCTGCAAAGTGAGACCTAACGTTAGTAAGTTAGCAGCTAATGCTACAGTTTAGCTAGCTGCTAACGTTAACCAGCAACTTTACATCAGTGGAAGAGGCAGAATTGAACATGATTTCCAATCGATTTGGTCTGTCAACACATCTTACATTATGTTACAGGAATTTGCTGGGTTTATTAAAAGGAAGATGCCAGACTTTTGCTATGACATAATAGTATTACAAGATTGTTGTTGACTCAAAGCTTTTATAAGTTTGTATTAGTTTCATTTGGACAACTTAAAGATGGTGTTGTGCCAAACATTTTAAACTTTCCAGCTCATCTTCAAAGGACATGTGTATCATTGAAATTTAATCACATATTGATATACCAATCTTATACACTTTGAATTGTTGTTGGTCACTTTTGTTTTTGTTTCTGCAGGTTATATAATGTGTAAGCAGGAGGAGAAGATCTTCCATCCCCATTTGCTGACATTCCTGCGCTAGTACATGACCACAGCTACCTTCCTGTCCGCTTTGATGGCCTTGTGGACAACGCTCTCTTGTACATTACACAGAAGCTCAATAAAACCTTCCTTTTCAAAGGGCATTAGCCAAGCTATGTTTTTTGGGTCATTTTTTAAATCTCTGTCTTCCATGTGTATACCATCACAGTAGTGTAGGTGGGGATTTTAACATGCTACATCTGTATATAGTTGTGAAGGGGACCATTGTACCAATTTTAATAGCAAATAAATGTCAATTTTATAATGGTTTAAAAATAGGAACTTTTGTGTAATTACCCCTGATATATAATCCGAATAGTCTACATGAAACTTCAAAGTGTTACCTTTAATTTGAAACCTGGATTATGCTGCTACACCAAGAGGTTGCCACACAATAAATCTTTTCTGTCAGTATTCCATATTTTATTATAACAATAATATTCATATTATAAAAGTATGTATGTAAATATAAATAAATTAGGACTGTGAAATAATTAATCACACCCAAATAAAAGTGTTTATTTTTATATATATATATATATATTTATATATATTATATTTATATATATATATTATATTTATATATATATACATAATTTTATTTATATATATACTTATATATATATATATATATACACATATTTATATATATAGGTATCTATATCTATATAGATATCTATAGATATATCTATATATTAGTGCTGTCAAAATTATCGCGTTATTAACGCGTTAACGCGAGGCCATTTTAACGGCGATAATTTTTTTAACGTGAGATTAACTATGTGGTTTTATGGTACAATTTTCCAAGTACATCGCGCTGCAGCCTGCGGGAAGGCGGGGCTATTTTCCCCCAGTGTATGCATTTCTCATAGGCTTTGAGAGCGGAGCTCCTCAAGGAAAAAAGACGCTCATACACTGGGTGACGCTAGTGCCTTTTCTTTAAGCCCCACCACCAACAAACAAGTTGAGTGTCTGGTAACTAGTAGCAACCTGAAATACGCTGAGAAAACTGATTACTGAGGTGAAATGGAATCTCGTAGCAGCACTCTTGCCGTCTGTGTACGCCACAGGTCGGTATCGTGTGTGTGTGGGTGGGTGTGTCTGTGTGTGGGTGAGTGGGTGTGTGTGTGTTCTCATTTTTGTTAAGAGGCTGAAAAGTAACTTTCTAGAGCATAGACTACCTTCATCTAGTGATGTCGGTCTATTGATTTTGATGTATTGATTGAAAATTGTTCATTATTACCTTGGTTAATTCAAATCTAATGTTAACTCCACTAAATTTTATAGCAGTAGGGTAAAATGCTTGTCTTTGTTCAAAAGACTGTATTAACTGTAAAGACTGTCTTTTACATCAGCCTGTTTTCAGGGCCTTTTTTTTTGGCTACATATTTGTTATTTTTTGCTACATGCCTCCCCATCTTCCTGCCATATGTTTCTATGGTATAAATCAGTATCTGTGACCTGTTTTCATTTTAAAAAAAGAACATTGGCACAAACCTAGCCTGTATGTATTTTTTGTATGTCATCGAGAGTATTTAAATGATTTTCAATCAGGAAAAAAATGTGCGATTAAAATGCGATTAATCGCGAGTTAACTCAGGCATTGATGCGATTAATCGCGATTAAAAAATTTAATCGATTGACAGCACTACTATATATCATGTTGCCATTCAGTACACTGAGTTTTATTAGCATATATTGATTTAACATAAATACCTTGTGCATGTGTATATTTATTGCACCTGTATGTTCTATTCAATGTTCTTTTCATATGAAATACCATGGTTATAATTATTCATAAGTGTGCAGTATCATAACTACGTGTCTGACTTTTGTTTAACAAACCAAACAATTAGACAATTCAGGAAGTTATGGTTATTTAAGTACATGTGCCTTTAAAACACAATGTTACGAATGAGCGAGCTGCCTGTGGCAAGATGGCCGCCACGTGCGGACGTCGACCCCCATTGGCCAGCAGCGCGGACGAGACATCTTTTTTATTTTTTTTTTTTATTTATTTTTTTATTTTTTATTGAAAACTTCAAAATTTACAGACAAACATGGCTGCATAGATTTCGTTTCTTCAAGTTAGGTTACATAGAAAATATAGCCAGGGGGAACAACTCTTCACACAGATTGAAATATATCTATAACATAGACTTGCTATAGAGGGCTGTTAACATAAACATCAAAGACATAAAATCAAATAAATAAATAAAATAGAAATTTATAAGGATAATTTTAAAATATAAACAATAATATAGGTAAAGGAAAATAAGAAAGTATAACATGAGGGGAGAATTCAGTCTTTGTTTTAGCTGTTTACTTCTGTAGGGAAGCGTTTTAGGGTATCATATATTTTTTGTGCTTTAGAACTTTTCAGAAACTTTAATGATTTTATATATAGCTTAAACTCGTTTAAAAAAACAACAAGTTCGGGAGATGATTTGACAATTCTACATTTATGAATGAAAAATTTAGCTAGACATACAATCGTATTAATACAGAGCTCATCAGTTTTACTTTGCAATATTAGACCAAAAGTGATATCGTCCCTGGAAATAACGGTTGGGAATGAAAATTGTTGTTGTTTAATCCACCTATGCAAATCACTCCAAAATGTTTGCACCACTGAACATGAGAAGAAAACATGGTCCGTAGTTTCAATGTCATTTTCACAGAACGTACATGTGTTATCATCTATACCAAAGCGAAGTCTCAATAATTCTTTAGAGGGGTAAATGTTGTTCATTATTTTGAAGTGTGTTTCTTTCACCTTTGGGGGTATAGGAAGTGCTAGATACATTATTCTTAGTTTAGTTATTGAGCTTTTATCAAATTTTTGTAGGATGTTATTTTTATTTTGTCTTTCAGGGTAAAGGTATTCATTAAAACAGTTTCTGATAAAATGGTTAGTGCATTTCCTATCCATAATGTTAATCCCTTGAATTGACAGAGTAGCTAATTGTGGGTGAATTGGATGATATGCCAAAGTATTTTTGATTAAAAAAACAAATTCCTGGGGTAGTGCTCTATGTAATTTGTTAAAGTCTGACTCTAAAGGTTTGAAATGATGTTTAATGCAAAATTGTTTATAATTATAAAAGGCTCCGTTGGCATCCATTAAATCTACTATGGACCATATATTTCTCCCATACCAGTCTTCAAAGAACAAAGATTTGCTGCGGTGCAGAATATATCTGTTGTTCCAGAGAACAGTTGTGTGGGGTGAGAAGTTATGCACATATAACATTTTCCAGTACAAGAGGATTTGTTTGTGAAACTCTGATAGTGTTATTGGCAATTTGTCAACATTAAAGTCTGCTCTAAGAAGAAAATCCAATCCTCCAATTTTCTTGAACAAGGACCTTGGAATACAAAACCAAAAGGAGTTGCTGTGTTTGATCCAAGATTTTAACCAATTTATTTTTATGGTCCCATTTAGACAGTCAAAATCAATAACTTTGAGACCCCCATCTTTTGCGTCTTTAACCATACTGCTTTTCTTCATATAATGTGGTCTATTTCTCCAAATGAAATTTAGGTTGATTTGGTTGATAGATTTAATTAATCTTTTTGGAATGGCATTGGAATAAGCCGGGTAGATACATCTAGATAAGCATTCCATCTTAGTTAGGTAGATCCGTCCTAGTATTGATAAGTCCCTCTGCAACCATAAGTTTAGTCGAGACTTGCCTTCTTTTATTTTATTTTCTACATTCAGAAGTTGGCTCTGTTTTTGGTCTTTGGATAAATGGATACCCAGATATTTAATTTCAGATTTGACAGGGATATTACAGATGTCTTTCAGTGGGGTTTCATGTATAGCCAGTAATTCACACTTTTTAATGTTTAATGTTAGGCCTGAGGCTTTGGAGAATTTTTCAATTTTATCAATAGTTTTTGAAATTTGGTGTCTATCTTTCAGGAATATAGTTGTGTCATCTGCTAGTTGGCTAATTATTATGTTTGTGCCAAGTACATTAAGTTTTTCGATATCATTACAGTTCTTAATATAGATAGCTAGCATTTCTGTGGCTAAGATGAACAGGTATGGTGAGATGGGGCAGCCCTGAGGAATCCCCACATTAACCTTGAAGCTTGGGGTGGTGCCACTGGGCAGTAGGACACAACTATTAATATCACGATACAATCCAGCGATAAATTTTATAAACTTGACTCCAAAACCAAAGTGTTTGAGAGTCGAAAGAATAAATGGATGCTCCACAGAGTCAAACGCTTTGTAGAAGTCTAGGAAGAGAAGGAAGCCATCATCTTCTATTTGGTTTCTATATTCAATGATGTCCATTACCAATCTAATATTATTATGGATTGATCTTCCCTTTAAGAATCCTGACTGTGTATCTGCAATTAGATCTGAAATACCTGTTTGGAGACGAGACTTGAAGATGTAAGTTAGAAGTTTGTAGTCTGAATTTCTAAGTGTAATGGGTCTTCTGTTATCTATGATTCTGGGATCTTTCCCAGGTTTTGGAATTGAGACGATAACCCCATGTCTCATTGTTGGTGGAAGCGCACAGGTTTCAAATATTTCAGTAAAAACTTGTAACAGTAGGTCTCTTAAATCTGTCCAAAAGTGTCTGTAAAAGTCTCCTGTGAGACCATCAGATCCTGGGGCTTTGTTAAGAGAGAGACGACCAATCACTGCATCAAGTTCTCTAATTGTTATTGGATTATCACATGTTTGTTTGAGGCTGTCCTCCACTTGGGGAATATGTTTGATTATTTCAAGAAAAAAAAGTTCACAGTCCATGTGAGAGAACTTAGAGCTATAGAGCTGGCTATAAAATTTAAAGATTTCAGTAGAGATCAATTTTTCATCCGTGACTTCATTATCATTAACCATTAAGGATCTGATGCTATTTTTTTCCTGTCTCCTTTTCTCAAGACCACAGAAATATGCAGAATTTTTTTCTCCCTCCTCTATCCACTTAGCTCTGGATCTGATGAAGGCCCCTTGGGCCTTACGGTTGTAAATTTCATCTAGTTTAGGTTGGAGGTTTAGAATCTTCTGTCTATCGTCTTCAGTTGGGTTAGGCCTGTTGCAATAAATATTTAACTGATTAATAATGTCTACTTCTTGTTTTTCCCTGTCTTTTTTAACAATTTTGCTGAATGAAATGGTAAATAAGCGTATTTTATATTTTAAAAATTCCCATTTTTTGGTAGCATTTATTAGTTCCTCCAATTTGGATATTTCTTTAATTAATGATTTGATTTTCTGGCAGTAGTCATTGTTTTTAAGCAAAGTGGAGTTAAACTTCCAATATGTGTGTGAGTGGACAGTGTTATCATTAGGTTTGATCTGCAGTAAGATCATACAATGATCTGTTAGAGGTGCAGCAGAGATATCAGAGCTAATATTATATAATAGTAAATGATTAGCAATCAGCCAGTGGTCAATTCTGGATTTAAATTTATGGTTCGCGCTAAACCAGGAGTATTTAGTTAATCCTGGATTTAAATGTCTCCAAATGTCAACCAAATTATGTTTTTCGTAAAAGTTTGTGAATGTGATGTTTGGGTGACTTGCAGAGTATCTACTAGGATATTTATCTAAAAAATCATCATGAACTAGGTTTAGATCACCACCAATTATGACATTATCAGTTGAGAATGTTAATTTGAGATTGTCCAAATGTAAGCCAATTTCATCCAGTAGGTTTTGGTTTTCTCTGCGGACGTTGTATCCATAAATGTTGACTAATATGAATTTTAGACCATCAATGTTAATAATAAGAATGATCCAGTGACCATACTCATCTGCTATATGGGACATTATCTGACCTTTAAAGTTATTTAGGAGGATGGCGACACCTGCTGATCTTGGAGTACCATGGCTAAAGTAAGCATCATCTCCCCACTGTTTGGCCCAAAACACAATATCATCATTCTTAGAATGAGTTTCCTGCAAAAAAATTATATTTGACTTCTTCCCTTTACAAAATAAAAAAAAACTTTTTCTCTTTGTTATGTTTCTTAAACCCCTTGCATTAACAGAAATTAAAAGAATATTGCTCTTTAAACTGAACATAGAGCAAAAACAAATTAACAATCAACAACACTAGATTCCTGAGCTTAGAACAGTAACGGTTCCTTTTTAGGGAGATATGACAGTAGCAAAACCCTGAAAATACTTTTTCATTCAAACTTACTTATTTTGGGGTTAAAAACCCTGAACGGTTGTGTCTATGGTGAGACTCTTTGACCATTAATGAAGGCATGGGGGCCTCGGAACACCGTCTTTAGTCCCGCTTTCCTTGCTTGTTCCACTTTGGGCCACACAGCCCTCCGTGCCTCCCTGTCCTCCCTGGTGAGATCCTCTGCCAGGCGGATGTTCAGCTCCTTGCAGACGGGGTGAAGTTTGGTGATCCTCCAGAGTTCATCCCTGAAGTGGCGTCCTGTGAACTGCAGGATGATCTGACGAGGGCGGTTGGTGTTGTTTGGTCCCAGTCGGTACACAGAATCTAGGATGAAATCTATCTTCTCCCTCCAGTGTGGTGCTATCTTTCCGATGATATCAGAAATGACTTGTCTCGTGTTTTCATCTTTTCCTTCCGGTAATCCAATAACCCGCAGGTTCCATTTTTTTTTATAGCGCTCCATCTCTGCAGCTCTTTTTTCCATTTCTGCTGCTTTTCTTCCAAATTCTGCGTTTTCCTCTTTGAGTTGTTTCACCTCCACGCCCAGTTTTTGACACTGTTCTTTACATTGTTTGATTTCGGCAGAGTTAAACTCCACCGCTTTGGCAATGTTGGTTATAGTCAGTGTGTTCTGCTTCAACTCCACTCTGAAATCCTGCATCATGGTCTGAAGCGTGCCGATGGCAGACAGGATGGCAGCGGTAGAGTTTTCTTCAACACGGGCTTCAGCACCTACCACGTCGTCCACTTTGGTCTTTTTCTGTGATGGTTTGGCAGGAGATGTTAAAGTGTTTTTGGTTCCTCTACTGTTAGTTTCCATCCTTTCCGGACCACAATAGTCGTGTGTCTGCAGCGCCTTCATCTTAGCGTTAGCTTTGGTGCTAACGTTAGCCATGTTCTACAATAACGTTTTCCGGGAGGTTTTCAGAGTTACTTACACGTTTCTGTGATATATAAGTAAGATCTCTCCAGTCTTACATCTAGTAAGTCAGGGTTTCGTTGACATACATTTGTTCTATTGACTTGCAAGGTTTCGCTACTCTGAGCTATTCACAGCACGTCTGCTCGCTCCGCCATCTTCCGGGTTCCTCCGGACGAGACATCTAGCCTTTATTTTATTATGGATATCTATGCGCGAGCCGCTGTTCGAACCTTTTGTTTTACTTCCGCTTTGTGTCACACTCAGACAATGAGCTGCTGATAATTCTGTTTACCGCCCCCTGCTGGACATTTTCTTCTTCTTTCATTTGATTGGCGGTTTGCAAACCTTTTCTAGCTGCCTACTGCACAAGAATGTGTAGCTTTAAGGTTCCACCTACTGTATTCTGTTTTTTAAATTTTGTGTTATGTACAAATGAAAATAATGTTTTACTAATGACCCTAATTTCCTCCATATCTTCATCTGTCCCTAAAAATTCTTTAATACTCCATTCTCTCCCCATTACCCCCGCTGGACTGAAATACAACCAACATTTGATAAACAGTAATTAAAAGATATTTGCCCAGAATATTTTGTACAGTACGTTAGGATTATTTTAAATCATTCATTCATACAGGAAAGGTTAGCACATAGATGTGCTTAGTGAACCCTAATGTAACCGTTTAGACGGGGACCAACAGGGGCCAGTGCCCCAATACTACTACTAATAACACTAGATACTTAAAAATGTTTATATTATTATTTTAATTCTTAACTTTATAGACCATGTTTTTATATTGAGCAAGTATAAGTATGAAAATAAATAAATACAAATATTTAGAGTTTGAAACTATTTTCCATTCCAGAAAAAAGTATTTAATGAATTACATATTTCTCCTTTTTTATCAGATTATTAGATTAGAATATAATCCAACAATAGTATCACTTCCACCTCTTCTTGACGGCAATAAAGAGTTTGTTACTGCTGGTGTGAAGTCAGTTTTATTGCAAATCTTCTTATAATTTCTTTGCCACTGACACCAAAACCACAGTCGAACTAAAATACAACATTAACTAATAGTTAATATTGTATTTTAATTAAGTGAGATGGTGTCATGAGTACAAAACGACATAAAAAATAATATAAATACATATAAACATACTTCGCTGGCTGACCCTTCCTTTTGAGGTAGAAATGAGAAATAAAGGACTTCTTAAACTTAAATTTCTTCGTACAACTTCTTGCAAATGTCATGCCTTTATACTGAGTTTATCTTTTCTTCTGGTTTTCCAGTGAACATTCTAGATTCAACTTTATACATAAGTCCTTCAATATAAGAATCTTAATAACAAAGAAATTGCATAATGCAAAATAAAACATGTAAACTAAAATATGTCAGTAAAACTCCCACCAAATCACTAACTTTTAGCGATTTAACTTCAAACATGTAACATTGCAAATGTTTACATTTTAACATTTACTGTGCTTCCAGTAACAACACACTTTTACGAACTGGTCTATCAAGATACACTGGCTTGACAGTCCTTTGTCCATTCTTATCCAAGGTTGAATCACCTAACAACAGTTTCACCTTCCTGATCCTTCCATCTGCGCTTGGATATACATCTGTTACTCTTGCAAGTTTCCACTTGGTCCTTGGAGAACAATGTCGTTTACTTTTGCATTTCTTTTGTCTCTTTGCCAAATTTGTCTTTGCTGAAGATTAAGAAGATATTCTTTCATCCACCTTGTCAAGAATTCACTGACTAAAAACTGACCTCTTTCACAAGTACAAGTCCTGGCTCACAAATTCCCAAGGAGGGGGCAGAATAATACCAGACTTCATCATCAGAATATGATTTGGTGTAAGAGGCTCTAAACTTGGATCACTTAGGTTTTCTACTGTTAGCGGCCTGCTATTCACAATAGCCATCACCTCGTACAGAAACCTGCCTACTTTTAAGGCAAGGTATAAAACTTTCCTTTTTGATAAAGGTTTATAGTTAGAGTGGCTCAGGTTATCCTGAGCTATCTCTATAGTTATGCTGCTATAGGCTTAGACTGCTGGATGTCTTATAATCTTTCTGCTTCATCCCCATTGTATATCATATCTGCCTTCAGGGCCGTACACAGGGCCCAAAAAATACTGAGGTCAAGAGTCAGTTGAATTTGTTTGTTCAATCTCTAATATTATGTTCTTTCTGCTTTTTCTCATAGTAACTTCATCTGGTCTACTCCTGTTTGGCTGTGACATCAAGGACAAAGAGAAATATCACCTGCTCTGCTTTCATCAACACTTTTGTTTCAATTCAATTCAGTTTATTTATATAGCGCCAATTCACAACGCATTTCATCTCAAGGCACTTTACAGTTCAACCAGATCATCCAGTCAGATTGATTCAAAGTTTTCTATCTAAGGAAAACCAGTTGATTGAATCAACTCATTGACACAAATGCAACCCCCCACACTAAGAATGCTTGTAGCGACAGTGGAGAGGAAAAACTCCCTTTTAACAGGAAGAAACCTCCAGCAGAACAAGACTCAGTGTGAGCGGCCATCTGCTGAGGCCGACTGGGGTTCAAGGAGACAGAAGCAGAGACACAAAAAGAAGCTGTAAAAGGCGGCCCCGTCCAGGAAACACACAGCCAGACAGACGAGCTCCGAGCCAGCTCCCATGTCAGAGGATGAAGAGAGCACATCCAGCCAGTCACAGTCAGAGAAAAAGGAGAAAAAGGATCTCCAGCATCTATAAACAAAGGTGTTGATGGCAGCAGCACAGCTGATATTTCTCTCCAGGATGGGGTCACAGCCAAACAGTAATAGACGAGGCAAAGCTACAATGAGAAAAGCAGAGAGAGCAGAACGTTAGAGATTTAACTAACAGATCCTTCAGAGTGGGAGAATAGAGATAGAATGAAGCAGAATGATGAAACGGGGGTCCCTATGTCCTCCAGCAGTCTAAGCCTATAGCAGCATAACTATAGAGATAGCTCAGGATAGCCTTAAAAGTAGACAGGGGCTGCGTCTCAATTCGCAGGCTGCGTACTTGGGAGGACGCATTTTGAGGCCGGTGACGTCACACCGCTCTGCGGAGGCCGTCCCATTTGGCAAAAATTCTGAGGACGCTTAAAATGCAGCCTTAAAATGCGTCCTCCTTTTCCCCGAATTATTACAGGTCAACTAAATTGTTCCTAGTACAAATTTAGTGGTAGATATCTGTAAAGATATTTGTACTAGTAAAGCTATACTTTGGATATCATTATACTTTGGATATATTATATATATATATATATATATATTGTTCATATATATATGTATACATATATATATATACATATATATATATATATATATATATATATATACATATATATATATATATATGTATATACATATATATATATATATATGTATATACATATATATATATATATATATATATATATATATATATATATATATATATATACATATATATATATATATATGTATATACATATATATATATATATGTATATACATATATATATATATATATATATATATATATATATATATATATATATATATATATATATATATATATATGGTTATGTCGGTTTCCAGCACATTAAGGTGTAAAAGACAATAAAAAAGCAGTTATATTAGAAAAAAAAAGGCTTTAGAGGGAACAATAACCATTACAGTTCCTTTTGGGAAAGGGGAAGACAAATCACTTAATAAGAGTAAATAGCTAGAAAAATGGCTAAAGAGATGGAACGAAGATAAGAAAGCCAGAGGATTATGTAAGGTCCAAAAATCAGCACTAAATTGAATCATAAATGAGAGAATCATGAAGTGCTTTGAGAAGCTGGTTCTTCAGCACATCAAGGACTGTCTCCCCCCACACCTGGATCCCCAACAGTTTGCATACCGGGCCAACCGATCCACAGAGGACGCCGTTGCCGTGGCTCTCCACTCTGCTGTGAACCACCTGGAGCAGCAGCAGAGCTACGTCCGGATGCTCTTTGTGGATTACAGCTCGGCCTTTAACACCATCCTCCCGGACAGACTCATCATCAAACTGGGCTCCCTTGGACTCCCCCCTCTCACATGTGCCTGGATTAACAACTTCCTGACTGACCGACCCCAGGCTGTGAGAGTTGGCCCCCACCTCTCCTCCACCCGCACGCTGAGCATCGGCTCCCCACAGGGCTGTGTGCTGAGCCCCCTCCTCTTCTGCCTCTACACCCACGATTGCAGACCGATCCACAACCACAACCAGATCATCAAGTACGCCGACGATACCGCTGTGGTCGGTCTCATCTCCAGGGGCGACGAGGCCGCCTACAGAGAGGAGGTCCTGAAGCTGGCTGATTGGTGCTCAGAGAACAATCTGACTCTGAACACCAAGAAAACCAACGAGCTCATCATAGACTTCAGGAGGCACAGCCCTGAGCCAGCTCCCCTCTTCATCAACGGCGAGCAGGTGGAGAGGGTTCACAGCGTCAAATACCTCGGCGTCCACATCTCTGACCGCATCACCTGGTCAGAGAACATCACCACCATCATCAAGAAGGCCCGGCAAAGGTTACACTTCCTGAGAATCCTCAGAAGGTATAACCTCAACTCTGATCTGCTGCTGGCCTTCTACCGCTCCTCCATCGAGAGCTTGCTGACCTACTGCATCATAGTATGGTTCGGCAGCTCCACCGCTGCCGACAGGGAGAGGCTGCAGAGGGTGATAAAGGCGGCGCAGAGGATTATCGGTCGCCCTCTCCCCTCCCTGGCAGACATTTACTCCACCCGGTGCCTCAGCAGAGCCAGGGCCATCTCCAAGGATAGCTCCCACCCTGGCTCCACCCTGTTTGACCTGTTGCCCTCTGGAAGGCGCTACAGGCAAATGAGGATCAGGACAAACAGACTCAAGAACAGTTTCTTCCCCCGAGCCATTGCCGCCCTCAACTCCGACCTGCACTGACGGACACTTTTCACCTGGTTTGCATTATTCCCCAAGCCATTGCCCCCCCTCAACTCCGACCTGCACTGTCGGTCACTTTACACCTGTTTTGCACTATCCCCCCCCCCCACAATCTGTGCCAGTACTGTTTTACATTTCCTTTTCACTGTTTACATTTCCTTTTAATATATTTATATATATTTTTTGTAACTGTTTACATTTCCTTTCCTTTTAATATATCTATATATTTTTTATATATTTTTATTTTATTTTTATTTCACGGTTGCTGTTATGGAAGTCCCAAATCTCATTGTATTTGTCACAGAATATAATGACAATAAAGGCTTTTTGACTTGACTTTGACTTTTGAGAAACAGAAGGGAAGAAGTAATAACGATCAGATAAAGTGGGTCATACCTTTTTA